AACTGAATCACCCTGTCACTGGCGGACATAAATACATGGAACTTTCCTCCAGGTTGGGTTTTTTTTTATTGATGGTGGGGTGGGACTAAGCCCCTTGTACTGCGGCCACTTCTGGTCAATTGTACCAGCCCCAGATGATAGGTGAGGGTGCTTGTGGAGCAATTGGTGGAATGAAAATTGGCAAGGGAAACGGAAGTACTCGGTGAAAACCTGCCGCAGCGCCACTTTGTCCACCACAAATCCCACTTGACCAGACCCGGTATCGAACCTGGGCCGCTGGACACAAGGCTGATAACCTTGCTCCGTAAAAGGAATTATTTTTGCGAAATTCATTAGAAGTGAAAATCGGTTGAAATCTGGCGGGACATTCTAAGGAAGGCTATGGCTCAAAAAAGATTGTTTTGCCGATGATGATGGTGATCATGATGATGATTTCACATATTTGATCTATTCATAATTTCTACATACATGCAGTTCGCATTTGTTGCTGTTACGTAAGAGTATTTACCACAAAACTCAGATATTTGCCTTCCGAACAGCAAGACCCGAGCTTGTAGTTATAAACACGCAATCTCACAGCTTTAAGGAACTTCCAGAAAATGGAACTGTGTATGCACATGGAGTGAGAAACACAAACCGCAAAGTCAATTGAAGCTTTGAAACACTGTTTCTTAGAAACATTTAACAGGCCATTATTTTTAATTAACCGTGGTCTAATGAGAGGTCACATTACCCGGTTATCGAACCTCGAATTCCTTTCATTTGAAAAGCGAATCATTTGTTGCAGCCCAGGGGTAGACAGTCGTGTTTAAGCCCGGAGGCTGGATACTTCTGATGAGAAGTGACCCCAAGCCTGAGGGTCTTGTCAGAAATTTAATTTAAAATCTGCAAGCTCATTTAATTATGAATATTGTAAGCAAATGTGGCATTTTCGTGGATTAATTAATCCGAACATTATGTACTAAACTTCTATTAGTGTTTTCAAAGTATTCAAACACGTTTCATATTAAATTTATCTGAATCTCGCAGTCGGGTAATTTTGTCGTGTCCTGCTTCGTATTCTGGGGATTCCTGGTTTATATCTCTGCCCGGACCTCTTATGTTGATAGGTTTTTGGTGGATTTCGTCAGTCCTTTTATTTCGATACCGGGATGAACCTTTCACAGTCACTTTCTTTGACAAAACCTCCTTTCACTTACCTTCTAATCATCTTAGCATTATATGATCCTATAGTTTGAGCTACTGAAAGCGTTGTTACATAACCCGTAAATACATGTACAGGATCTGGAGTCGGTTTCGCTCGATTTCCATATGCCCAGTATAGGTCGTACCTAGAGGCCGCGCCATAGCTCAAGCGGTTAGTCGCTGGCTTCCCACTGCGGAGGCCCGGGTTCGATCCGGGGTTTGGTCAAGTGGGTTGTGGACAAAGTGGCGCTGGGGCAGGTTTTCACCGAGTACTTCGGTTTCCCCTACAAATCTTCATTCCACCAATTGCTCCACAATCACCCTCACCTATCATCTGGGGCTGGTACAATAGGCCAGAAATGGCCGGAGTACAAGACACTTAGTCCCACCCCACTAGCAGTAAAAAAATAGGTAGTACCTACTTGCCACTCGGCGCTAGAGCCCTGGGTGAGCCTTTGCCTCATCCACAAGCAGTATCCACTGCTCCGGGCTGGTTGTTAGATTTCTCAACAAAATTCTTTTTATAGGATGAGGTTGTTAGCCTCATGCCCAACCCCCCAAACTTGGAGGACCAGGGTATCTCTCTTAGTCTGGACTCTACCCTTTGATTTTTCCTGCATGGGTGACCCTATCAGTAGTTAAATTACCGGCGGCATAGCTCTCCAGTTCACAGAGTCACTCAGGCCCCACCACCACGGCAAGGTGGAGACAACCCATTACAGGTACCATGCAATACGGTCTTCAGCAATCCAACCGCCGTGAACACGGGTTCAAATCCCAGTATGGACATGATCTATACATATATTATTATAATTATTTCTGTCAGCGGTATAGTGACCTTACGATGGACAAATTGCTCGTTCAAGGAATCCTACCAAATGGATAAAGATTTATTATTACAAAATTAATCCTGGGAACTCCAAAAAAATGAATTTCTGTCGAAACATTATTATTTTATTAATTTTGTTTTATTTTTTATCCATATCTTTACTTTTAAATAAAAAAATATTGAAATACTTAATTTCGCAGCAAACTCGGATGAAATGTTAATGCGGGCCATAGTTTGCTCATCCCTGCAGTAAGTTAACACTTGGAACAAGCAATGCACTGCTAATCTAGTGGAACTGTGGTCTCTTCTTGTGACCACAGGCTGCGCTGTCTGCTGCCGGCGCCTGCCACCGCGCACCCTTCAGTGACTGCACGAGGTACCATGCAATACGGTCTTCAGCAATCCAACCGCCGTGAACACGGGTTCAAATCCCAGTATGGACATGATCTATACATATATTATTATAATTATTTCTGTAACCGGTAGAGTGACCTTAGGGTGGACAAATTACTCGTTCAAGGAATCCTACCAAATGGATAATGGATTATTTCAAAATTAATCCTGGATTGAAAGAGACCAGAGGATTTATCATTGGGAACTAGAAAGGAGGATTGTCGACTTCCAGTAACCAGTGATTAACTGGCTTGCCAGTTCGTTGATTGTCTAAGTCTACAGCCGATCTTTGTGTTTAATAATGTGACGTGTCGCCAGAAAGCCGGAATGGTTGAGTGAGATCAGGGTTCATTTCCTAGGCAACGACCAACGTTCCCGGAATAAGAACACATCCATTGCTATACAACAGATAGCAGTATCCAAGCAACGAACTGTTCGTTGCGTAACAGCGGGCGAAATTAACCCTTTGATAAGGTATTCCCTATTCAGTCCGAGTGCAAGATATAACAGTTAGTATCTGGAAAGAGACCTGTAGTCGGTCAGGCATACGACCGTTCAAGTGACCGAGCCTTGATTGACAGAGGCCTTGTATATATTTTACATAGAAATTGGAAATGAGATTAAAAATGTAAATACATATAAATACTGACAATACATACTAATACGGACTATGACTGACAAATGACAGACCCGACCTCTCGTCAGAGAGGGCGCCCCAAATGAGCAGGACAGTAACTTTCATATAAGAAAAAAAAAAAGATAAAAAATCTGGTCATGAGCCCCAGTCGGGGCTCGACACCAAGACAGACAGACTGACGGACTGTCAGTCGCAATGTGACTTGGACTTGGACTTGGGGAGACCAGCAGTCGTAATGTGACTTGGATTTGGATTTGAAGAGCAGAAGAGTTCGTATCCGCCAATGGACCAAGGACAGTTGAGCTCCGAGCAGAGCAGGAGACACTTCACCAAGATGATACCGATTTATGATATAGAATGAGATGGAAGATGATAAAAAATGAGATGATGATGTGGGGGGACATGTGCCCTGTGTACTGTTACGGTGTCCTTCTTTAGAGACTGAAGAAAATCACGTCTATTTGTAGGCATCATGATCAGGAACTCATTCACTTACCTCAGCGCTCACGCAGCCCATGCTCCCCCCCCCAGGGCGTAAACGCATACGCCAGAGATCAGTAACTATCAAAACAGTAGAAGTGAGCACTGCTAACTAACCTAAACAAGCAATGTCGTTGGTGAAGCGTCGATAAATAATGAACGAACCTAATACGGACCTACTCACAGTGGCAGAGACTCGTAAATTATCACTGGCAATTCTCACCGTCCGTGTGCATAAAATTGACATTTCAAAAGCATTTGTCTCTTCGTGCTGTTCGAACCCTACATGTTTCGGCCCAACTGGCTGCCATCATCAGGTGTGGAATTTATGGGACACAGTGTAATATTCTAGCAGAGAATTCTGACTTATTGAGAGAGGAATCCCCCTCGTTGGTGGCTCCACCTTATCGTGGTGAGGGGGTTTGAGTATGCCAAGGACGCTATGCCAGCGGTAGCGTAGCTACTGGCAGGGCCTCCCTTGCTGGACAGGTCAAAGGTTAGGCATCAGACGAAGAGAGACACCAAAAACTGATGCCGGAAGCAGCGTCATCAGCAGCGACTTGAAGCACAGAGCAAATGATGCTCGAGATGGTTCAAGTTCGTATAGCAACAGGCGTGACCAGAGTGGTTTGAACGGCTGTTGTACTGCGATGTGGAAAGCAAATGGAAAAACTACCACATTATCACTTTTCCTGGATAGTCTCTTTCCAAAACCAGAGATACCATGTATGCGAGATGTTTCATTTGAAGGAGAAAGCTCTAGATCGCATCAAGTGGAGGAACTGTTTTGAAGAGACTGTGGACCTGTCGTCTTGACAGATTACTGATGAATGAATGAGAGAGGAATAAGCAGAAAATTTTTATCTTAAATTCTTTAGTACCGTGTATTATTTTCGGTAAAGTTCTGGAAGAACAAACATGTAAGGTTCCTGCCCAACCAATTAAAATCGTCAAATTAACATTCTTAACTTTATTATTAATATTTGGGAAGGTCTGAAGAGCTATATGGTGAAACTCAGTGTTTTCTGAATTGGAATAAATTTTCATTTATGAACTTAACCATAATGATTGTAGTAAACTCCGTGGCCTGTAGTCCGCAAGCGAACTATATCGATCTAGCTACCGCCGCTTGTCGGCGAAGTTAGTGCCAACTTTAGCGGATAGAGGTCGTCGCGATGATTTCATAGTGATTTGAAGTGCTTGGTTCTGTGTTGAAATCCGTTGCCAAGAGAAGACTAGTGAATACGGAGAATCCTAGTGCGTGTGTAACGGTGAAATGAAAATGTGTAGAACAGTGATAGCGTTATAATTGGATGTGATTAAGAGCACTTGTAACCGAAGTGCCAGTAAATCCAATCATCCGATCTAGACCCAGTTATTTTCGTCACGCGTACCCCCCCCCTTTTACACGTGATAATACGTTTGGATTTATGCTAAAAGCTCATCAGTCATTTGTTTGTCTTCTTTTGTCCTTAGTGAGTGGGCAGGAGGATTTCTGGAGTCATGCCTCGGAACATAGTGAAAGAAGTCCTGAACGACGAATTTGAAGAACCTGGACATGTATTGTCCTTACAACGACATTTAACCTGATCGAGGAAATCAGGACAAGCCATCAAATGGTAAGCTAGCTGTTATTTTTTTCTTTTAGACTATTTTTGAATCAAGTCACAACAGAAGATGGCGCTTATTACTTACTTTTGTTGCCCAAAATATTCCACTTGATGTCTTCTATGCGAATAAGTAACAGGGGTAATGAACAGATAAATTATCATAGCAATAGAAAGGTTTCGGATTGGTAATTGGATTTATGGAACTCTTACAGGACGTAACTACGTATAATTATAGCGTTATCTCTAATTCATACGCTCTGCGATTCAGAAGAGCAAACACTAAATCTTATCAGTCTGCTGTATCTTCACCAGTCGTTGCCTGGTGACGGCTTTAATAATTTCCTCTGCTTCCGTGGTCACGTTCTTACCGGCTGGAGACTGTCTCACAATTAACTCATTGTTCAAGATGCCCTGCTTATAATATCTCGGTACTGACTGCACAGAAGACACCTTTCCTCTGTTGTTTGAAGGGTCGTTGCCTGGCAGTGTCCATTGTACAGACGCCTGTCTCGCGGTAGCCTCATAGTAACGGATCTATATATCGCAAAATAATCACGGAATGAATAATGGTTAAAGGACTGAAATTATGCAAATAAATTTCATACATAAAGACAAGATAACACGCTTTGATCAAATGTTTTTAAACCACATTACGGTCTCTCTTTTCTCAGTTCCTTTCAGTAACCATCGAAAATTATACTAACTTTTTCTTAATGCTGAAAGTGGAAGGAAAATAGTGTAAAAATATATGGAAACACAGCAGCAGCATACATTCTTGTTATTTCTAGCTCGGGAACTTTAATTTGACAACATTCCTGCCTTCCAATAAACTGCTCACAGAGTGTCCAAGCCTGCAGTGCACCTGTGAGTCCTCTGTACAGCATCAGCCATAAAGAAGTGTACTTTGTTGGTCGTTTGAGTCTAATTTATTGGCAGGTGTTGTGGTTAGAGTACATCTTCTTTCTGTAATTTACTACACAATATATTCATCCCGTCTAGTAGCTGTAGTTTTGTTTTTGCAGAAGCATAGTTCGCTGCCGCGCATTTCTTGAATCCGCTAATTTATATTCTTCTGCTCGTTACTGCGGAAATAGGGAATATTGAATATATTCTTTGCTGCCTGTCCTGTCTTATTGTTGGGTTCATTGTTAAGTTTTTATTTTCCAACCAGCTATCTAGATGGCAGAGTCCTTCTTGAGAAACTTACAATCTTTCAGCTAATCAAGAATGTATTCGCCTTTCACAAAGCCCTAAGTTTTATTACCGTGTTCACAAGAACTGTTTTTATTTCCTATCCTGAGGCAGATGACTTCAACGAACATCATCGCCCCGCGCTTACTTTGGTTCCAGTTTCAGCTACTTTCCTTATTTTTTAAAAAATGAAAAGAGGCTTAGGAGATCACTTGGCTGTGTCCCACTAATGCCTGAAAGCCGAAAGAGTGGAACCAGAAGGGACAGCCGTTACTACGCAACGGTGCGGTAAACACGTTCTCATGGCAACGAATACACACACAGCAATAAAATAACACGTTGGACATGGTGTTCTATATGCGGTGCATGTATCAATTCCCAATACGTATTGGAAGTAAAGTAGATTATTCCCTGATTTTCTTGTAATATAGTGAACCGTCGTTATAACGGAGTAATAAGAGGACAAGGCGCCCATTATCGCCCATGTCCGCTATAACAGAGCGAGGGGTATTCACGGAAGAACACCACGGGGTACATAGCCAATACATGCAATTAACACAGAAACACAATGCGATTACATAAAGGTTTTTATATACGTGTATTTTTTTATGTAGTTTTATAACTAAAAAGTTTTCTTAGTACCTCAGCTTCTCTAATAATTAATAGTTGTACACTGCCAAATTTTGTCCGCTATATCCAAAACCCTTTATATCCGGGTCTGTTATAACGAGGGATTGCTGTATTATGATTGCATCTACGTCTAGATATTCCAACTGATTCTACCCTTCATGTTTTACTACCAAAATTATATTTTGCTCCCGTGCATGCTTCATATCCCAGCTAACGTATTCGCCTTAATGTTATCGCAATAATACAGGAACTATAAATGATTCATTCGTTTTTATAACGCTATATTTTCCAAAGCATTATACATACAAACATGATTGACATATAGAAAGAACCATAAACTCACCACGTTTTCTTCATATTCTACAAATGTTCTATGTGTGCCCCTTGGGTCACACGACACACGTCCAGGCGGTAGTCGAGCTCGTTACACACATTTTGTAGCATCAGCCTGTCAATGTTCATCACTGCAGCATCGATGCGTTCCCTCAGCTCCACAACTGTTCTTGGCAGTGTCCTTAAATTGCCGATACCACCGCAAAATGCTTTGTTTACATGGCCGTTCTTTCCATACTCTCTCCTGAATGCGCGTTGCACTGCTATAACAGACGAACCTCTCCAATATTCCAGCAAACAAAAACTCTTATCTTGCTTTGTCACCATTTTGTAAAGGCACTGAAGTCATGCTGCCAACTGGTATATATAATACAAACTTAATGAGGTTATGGTTCTTTTTATATATCAATCATATTTGTATATGTATTACTTTGGAAAATATGCCGTTTTAAAAACGAATAAATCATTTATAGTAACCGTGTATTTAGTTAAGGGTAGACAGTTTGAGGATTCACAGTACGCAGTGTACATCTATCGTCTTATTGCTTCCTCTCTCTTCACTTATAAGATTCTTCTGGGCTTGTTCTCAACACCCTCAGTCAATGTTCTTCCAGAGAAATCGAAAGACACTCTCAGTGGATCCCTTATGGTGTAACGGTCCTCAGAACGATCCAAACTAAACCAAAATTAAAATGTTACCAAATGCCTGGTTTGTCTGCTATATCGAATTTTATTGAAATCGGTCAGGTAGCTGGACAGTTTTCCTTGGTGAGTAGGAAACAAACGCACTAACGAAACCAGTACATTTTTAACCTTTCATTTAACTCATTTAAAATGATGACATGGGCTGAAGGAGTTAGATTTTATGGATTATGCATAAAAATTTATTGTTGGGAAGTGTCACGTCTTAGGCCGTTCATGAGACTAGCCTTTATATACAAACGTGATCTGTTTCTTTTGTTTCCCTTTGCGGACCTCATACAGAACACCTGATACTCACTTCTGTTACCACTGGAACTACGCATGTAAGGCCTACTACGTCTGCTGTAGATAAAGATGGGATGAGTAGAGCTTTTGTCTGTTATTCGATTCTCATCTTCTCTCTGAGTTCGTGTCTGTTGGCTGACCACGTGATCGTTACTGAGCCGTTGGCTAGCAACGGGCGTGTTTATAGAGCCATTCTCTAGCAACGGCTGTCTCTGCTGTCTTCACAATTCTGGTTTTCAGCAGATATGCTACAGTATAAATGCGTTTACCATTGTCAGAACACGTATTTTATTTATGCTGCTCTGGTAGAGACTTTGTCACGAATTTCTAGTACAAAATATGAAGGTATTCTGTTCACGACCTGTGAAGCGGCTTCCCAGCGTGCATCCCCAGATCTATTGTGTGTAATTGAGCTAACCTGCTTGTACGGAAATATCACAGGATTCAATCGCATATCATTTTCAGTCCTCACTCCATCGAGCTCTGCTTTATGGTCAGAGTCCATGTACGCATTTGTGAAGCCACTATAACATTTTACGAAAGGAATATTAATTTTTATAGCTTCTTAACGCTGTATTCGACCCATATATTTTGAAATAATGTGAAATGTATAACTGAGAGGCTTAAAAAAAAGATTATAGTGTTCTGATAACATTTTTGTTTTGCTCTATTACGTATTGATGTTCCCCAGCTCGCGTATTTTGTTCCAGTACAGTACAGCGTATGTTTTCTCGCAATTACAAAGCTTGTAGAATATTTTTATGCCCAGTTTTGTGAAATTTAGCGATGAGGCTTGCAAGGAGTTAGACACTGTAGAGTTGTACCATGTACAATGCGTTGCAGTGTCTCCATATTTCGTTTTCGTGTCCAAAAAAAGAATTGGATGGGTGGTTATACACATTATGGGACGGGAGAGAAATGCATATAATATTTTTATCGGAAAACCTGAAGGGATATCACTTCGAGACCTAAGCATAGACGAGAGGATAATATTAAACTGGTTCTTAAAGAAGCAGGTTGTGATGTCGTGAACTGGATTCACGTGGCTCAGAGCAGAATTCAATAAAGAACTGCTTTGAACATGCCACTAAATATTCAAATTTCATTAAATGCAGGAAATCTTTTGAGTAGCTGAGCGACTATCAGTTTTTCAAGACCTTGCTCCATAGAATTAACGTTCTGCATATGAAAAGTAAGTTGCTGAAAAAATAAATAATTATTTCCCTCACAAGTGAGATAGTGAAGCGATAACTCTTGCATTGGGGAAACATCTTGTTCGAACCCCACAAGGAACAGCACATCTCGGCTGAAGTTTGCGTGATTCTTCTCAGTCCTTCCGGGAATATTTCAGGGTATATATATTTCCTATCTACTAACTACCACTCTACATTTGACGCTACATAAATTTTGGATTTGATGTAGTATCATGTGACTGCCTCTGTGGTCTAGTGGTCAGAGTTCCTGGCTACAGATCTAGAGGTCCGGGTTTCGATTTCCGGAGTTACCAGATTTTCTGAGAACTAGTGGGTCTGGAACTGGGTTCACTTAGCCTCGTGAGGGTAATTGAGGAGCAAATTGAATGGAAAAGTAGCGGTTCCGGTCCAGAGATCCGAAATTAACGGCCGTGGGGATTCGTTGCGCTGATCACGCGACACCCTCTATTCGCTAAAGTTAGCACTAACTTCGCCGACAAGCGGCGGTCGCTCGGTCGGTATAGTTCGCTTGCGGACTCAAGCCACGGAATTTGTTTTGTAGCGTTATGTATCTACCGAGGCAACATACAGAAAATTGACTATTC